GCGATCACAGATAAGTGGTTCCAACATCTGATACTCCACTCTGCTCTAATGATTCCTTAAAGGGATGGCCCTCATCAACTTAGTGGAATAGAGTTTCTGGTTGGGGTTTTATAACGGGATTCTGAAAACCAGCTCAATTTTAACTGAAAATTTTCATCTCTCCTACTTATCACACATGCACACTCTCCAAATTGCACAACATAATTACTTGATTAATGCCATGCCATAAATTGGCTTTTAATTTTCTGGCATCTTATTGTACGCACAATCCATAGCACCTAGTGTACAGAGACCTTGATCCAGAATAGGACTCAGTTGGGGGGCCCTTGGAGACCAATCTTTCAGATTTATTTGTACATCTGCAAAGTTGACATATGTTTTACATAATTAATTCACTCATGCCCTCTCTCTTTCTCTCTTGTCTCTGATTGCCTCTTACCTTACAGGTCTATTCATTGTGTGAGCTTTTTGGCCAGAAGGGTAATTCCCAAGCCTAATTATCTTAGAACAAAGTTAATTTCTCATTTTGCAACATCGTTCCTCTGAGGATAAATGGCAGTCTTCTGATCATTCAAGACCTCGCCTAGCTGAATTGCCCCTCCGTATGTATTGTTCGGATTTGCAAACAGCCCAAGCTATCCCTTAAGTTGGAAAGGAAAGGAAAGGAAAGGAAAGGAAAGGAAAGGAAAGGAAAGGAAAGGAAAGGAAAGGAAAGGAAAGAAGCCCCCTTGAACTCCTGAGAATCTCAAGAGATTTCTGAGAGAAAGAAGGAGGAAAGGTTCCACCTTTAGGTATCCATGAATTGACTCTTTTGCCAACTTCAGGCCATACTGGACCACCTTCTTTGGTGATCTTGGTGCCTGACTAGTTCTGAAACAGTGGAAGTGGCCTGTCAGGCATCTTGTCCCCAATTGCTTTAAGACATTCTGCATCAGAAGTAAACCTTGGCTTGGTGTTTAATTGGCAGCCAGTGCCAGTGTTTCACCTATGAGGGAATGTGGTCATATCCTCATGACTCACACAGCAACCTGCATATTCTGCTCCACTTAGAGTCTCAGCAGCCACCGCAAAAGTAGCCCCATATAGAGGCACAGTTGTGATGGAATGGTTTGGTGAAGGCCGCGCTCAGAGAGAGAAGCATTTCCTTAGCCCCCAGAGTGAGCGTGGTAAGGTGAAGAGGATGAGACTGGCACCACCCTAAGGAATCCGCAGTGTTTGCTTGCTGGCTTGGGAAGTTTAGATTCAGTCTGGCGAGATTCTGTCTTGTAGGTGGAAGCTAATAAGTGCTGTAGAACTATATCTGTACTGTCTCGTGGAGTTCTTTGGGCTGAACCTGAGAACAGTACAATAATCTTAATATGAGGTTACCACTGTCCAATTATCACTAGCCCGACCATGTTCAAGAAAAGGCATAAATGTTGTACCAAACAAAGATGATAATACATTCTCCTGGCCAAAAAGGTCACTTGAATCTAGGAGCACCAGGAATTTCATACCTCTTCCTTCTGAGTGAGTACAACAAAGCCTGTCATTAGTAAGAAAATAATAACATCACAGTTAATTTATTTCAACCAGTCTCATAGAGAAACTGCCCCTCACTTTGCAGATCCCGCATGGAGTATCTGCATATGGTCATCTTACTGAATGCTCCTTTATAGTTGTTCATATTTAAAAGTTGAATGTCAAGGGGTTGGCACATTGCCATACTGGACGATTTTAGGGAAAAGGTAGTAAAGCTTTCCATCAGTCATAATGTATAATGTGACTGAGGTCTGATTGTGAATTCTTAACTGTTTTCTGCATCCCTTCACACCAGCTGGAACTCTGGTATTTGTGAGCGGCAAAATATCTGCAACCGTACACACAGTTGTCTTGTGTTCTGCAAATTGTCACAAGATACGTCCTTTGAAATGTAACTCCATGCACCTAAAATTTAGAAATATGACCTAGGATTGATTATCAGAAAGCATGCCACTCTTGAATTCAATTAGCCACCCCACATTTGAGACAACTGAGATCTTAGTCTGTTTTGAAAGATTGTCATTGCTTATTTCTGGAGCATGGATAATCTAACAATAATATATTGGTCACGCCACCTCTGCAAAGGATCTGCTCTAAGCAAATGTTGTGTCAGTAATCTAAATATCAGGATTAAGACAACATGTCTATAGCTGTTTTAATATTTTCCAAGACAGTAGCCCTATTAGAGGCTGTCACAAAAGCAGTTGTGAGCCTTTTAGACATTGGAAAACTTAATAGACTTATTATGCATATAAACAGTATGCATAAGGACAGTATATAAATAGAGAGCAAACCCCATTCCATTCTAGCACTGAAGATGTTACCTAGCCAGGTAATGAAACATTTGCAAGAAAAGAACCCAGCCCAGAGAACCCCACGGACTCCGCATATAAATCTTTTTTAATACGATGCATCAGAATGCAAGTGCTTTTCCAACAGCAACCAGAGGAGGGAGATAACTATTAACTTGAAAAATAGTTAATGAAGACATTGGGCATTTGCTTTCACTAAATTCAGATCGACTGGACAATTAGCTTACATTTTAACTACATGAAATTAAATGTTTGCTCTTGGCAATGCCAGAGTTACCCTTTGAAAGTCCATGGTTTAAGTGGTGCATTAGTTGAAAAGAGTCTGAGTGAATCAGCAGAGTGTTTAGCCCTCCGGTGCTTATTAAAAGAATAGGAACATAGATGTTAAACCAAGGCTTTTAGTTACTGACAGCCTCAGAATCCTTTTTTCCTTGATACATCACATATGATATCCTTTCAAAAGATGAAGTCAAGAATATCTATGTTCCTGGTACCACTGTTAAGAGTTACAAATTTTCAGATATAACAAGAGGCTATTTTAATATTTTGTGTAATAATATCAACTAAAGCTATTTAATTTTTCAGTTTTACATGATAAATATTTCTCACGACTAGGACAGATTCCCAAATAATGGCAGTTAAAGTGCAGAAATATTTCTATTATGCATGTGTTCTTGAACCCTTCAGTAGGTAGGGTAAGCAGAAGATGTTCAGTGAGTTAAAATGTAAAACCTTTTTCAGGCAACATTCAATTCCTAGAGACAAGCTTTTTCTTGTCAACAAAACAGAAGAGATTTATCAGTTTCATCTTCTAGGGTGCTTTTGGGATTTCCCAATCTAGCCTGAAGCCTGGTCATCTCTCATCCAAGTACAAACTAGCCTGACCCTGCGTAGCTTCCAAGCCGAGGCAAGATTGGCCAGGTGCTCGTCAGCTGCTCAGATTAAGCTATCAGAATAAATACCCTAAGGCATTGTTTCTCAACCTTGGCAACTTTAAGATGTGTGGACTGGCTGGGGAATTCTGGGAGTTGAAGTCCATACATCTTAAAGTTGCCAAGGTTGAGAATCATTGCCCTAAAGTTATGGCTGCTGGAAATTAAAGGCAGTTTCTTCATTTTTAGTTGGAAAACAAATTTTCCAACTTTTTTTTTAATTAATTTTTTTTTTAATGAGGAAATCCCTCTACATTTTTAAAATAATTTTTATGATGCTGAACAATGAACAAAAGAAATGTATGAATACATGCAATGTTAATGAAATAACACTTTAATATGAAGTATAAATATAAAAATGGGAGGAAGGTCTGGAAAACTGTTAGAACAGCATCAATAAGTTTAACCTTGTTTTTTGAATGTTTTCTTCCTTACACCTTCATTGAAAAAGAAAACCCCATTCAACAGGCAACACAGACCAACAATTCATTACTGCAGATCAGCTGTCGATTTCCTCTTCCAGTGTTGTATGATTTGCTTTTGGACAACTCCCATGGCTGAAAAATCCACAGTTCTTGATAACTTTCATAGATTCCAAACTTCGAGGGTATAGCCAAGAATGTATGCATTATTAACAATTCTGTTGATTTGTTCAGCCCAAAATGTAACAGTAACAGGACAAGACCAAACTAAATAGACTAAGTGTTCCAACTTCTTGAGTTGCATTTTCAGTAGGAAGACAGTTGAAATCAACTCAGAGTAAGCATTCACTAATGGGTCCAATGTATGTAAAGTATTTTACTATTGTTGTTGATTTAATCACTTTACCAAATTTCTAAGTGTGGCCCTTAGCCTTCAAAAGTTTGCCCACCCATAATGTAGATAGGCATCCTATGCTGACCCTGAATAACAGGATGAAAAAAATCTGATATTATTCACTGCCACAATCTGGCAATACTGTGGATTGTCTTAGAAATCTGTTGATATGTTCTAAACACCACATCTCAGTCAATGTTCATGGGTGTGTAATTAAATCATGCCTCAGAAATCATATCAATTCAGTGGCATCCCTAAAACTTCTCACTTGTCAGATGACACAAGTTCCAAGGGCTCTGCTCACACAGCATAATTTACCTGGCGACTGAATTTCTTGGTTGGTGCAGCAATAGTGAACAGCTTGTGCAATAATCATAAGCTAAGCAGACAGCTTGGGTTCCAAAAGAATTCTAAGACACTATGCACTTATCAAGGAGTAAACAAGTTCAGTGAGTTGTGTGAATACATTGACCTAACCTATTTAAATATGCTGTGTGAACACACCTGATATATTCAGAAATAAGGCAGATAAAACCTGAAATTATTGGGGAATAGGACGGAATACACTTAACAATGAATATGCATGAAATTGGCATAGACTGGAGATGGTCCACCCTCTTTTAGTATATTTTATTCTATATGTTTTCTACTTCTTTCCCTGTTTTTCTCATCCATTCATTTGTCTTCCCGCTCCTCCCCTGAAACTGGGATTCTGGAAGAAGGGAGGGTCATGAGAATGTTGGGGGCTCCACAGGTGCAGCCTTCCTGGGTTGGGATATCAGCTTGTCATAATAGTCCTGGAGCAAAATAACATTGATGAAATATTCATATATTTTTTACTCAGTATGGGCAACCAGGCCCAAACACCTTCCACAGCAAAAGAACCCCTGATATGCCTCTTCTATCATATCTTTATCAGTGTCCAAGCAAAACCTATGACCCCTCGATCAAGTCCACCAGAGACTTTCCTGATGATGTTATAAGCTTCATCAAGCGCCATCCATTGATGCACAAGTCAGTCTACCCAGTGAGTAGGGCTCCAGTGTTTACTCAAATCAATGTGGACTACCGACTGACTCAGATTGTGGTGGACCGGGTCACAGCTGAAGATGGCCAGTATGATGTCATGTTTCTAGGAACAGGTAAGCATAGGATAAAGTGATCCATGTGATGTCCATTTTATTAAAAGACAACCTTTATAACAAGTTTCCAAGAGCATTGCTTGGAATTGACTGGACCCTGAAACAAGGAGATATATCACTTAATAATAAGTAATATGATAACCGGGGCAGAGCCAGTCCAAGTTGCACATGAAAGATTTTGCAGCATCCATTATCTAAAGGTAAAAACAAGCTCTACTCCTGGTGACTACATAGATATATTCATGGAGTTTTCTTTGTAACCTTATGGAAGCTGATTGCCATTGTTGTTGTTTTTATTTTTTTATTTTTTTTTTACTTCCCAGCTTCAGAAAGGCTTAGCTTATGAGCACACTGCAAAATGTTGCATTTCCATATTGCACAAACAGTTAAGTTTCCTCCAGCTTTTCAGCTTGCAAAGTGACAGGCAGGTCTTGCTATTCCCCCCCTCCCCAATATATGGGAAGACTCACATTAAAAAACCTTATTGATCATAGTTTGTCAAAGTTGTACTTTCTATATCAGTATTGCATCCACTGGAATGCAAGTATCCTTGCAAGATTTCTTCTCAAAGAAAAACGGGTGTATTAGAAAACACAGATCAACACTGGATAAATTAAAGCTTCTTTCAAAGCTGTATATATCATGCAAACTTGCATACAATTTTTAATAGGGACTTTTAGAGTCACACATTCATCAGAAATAGAGAAGAACCCACTTTGGGTATGGAGTAAAAATTGTGAAAAGCTAAAATTAATATTCCTGGTTCCTCTAATGGAGGAACATTGCTGAATGAGCAGAATCAAGACTTTCTCATATAATTTGAATCAGGGTTAAGAAAAACTATGGTTAAAGATTTATGAATAAGCATTATTTTTGTACAAGGCCTATTTGAATTGGCTCTAATTCTTCAGTCTTGCTCTTCATAGTAATAGGTGTCTGCAAGTTAAAAATTGTCAGTAGGTGGCAGTCCAGAATTTCAGCAGAGAAGACTAACTGTAACATCTAGACTGTTCGAAAAATAAGCTTCTTTGGAATAGCTTGACATATTAAGAACTAAAAACTTGCTCCATGCTAAGTCAACCTAATGGCAGGTTTCTCAGCAATTTAAAAATAATAATACAAAAGAGTGAACAACATGTTTTTGTGGTTGTTTTTGACTGAAAGCTGAAACAATCACTGAATTAATAAGCTCACAAAATGAACACACACACACAAACGCACACCATTCTCAGCCTAATATCACCCACAAGATCTCTGAAAATTTGGTTCTGAATTCTTCATTAGAGGAATGGAAGCTTCCAACCATTAGAAATTAATAAGTAAACAAAAATGTTAGAAATAAACATAGAAGTTAACTCTTTCAGCTATTGGTAATATTACACAATAATTGAAATTGTACAACATTTAGAAAGGCCACTAGGATTAAAAGCTTTTTTCTCCAAGAGCTAATCAGAATCTTAAACTGGATATTTATTTTCATCTGTTCCAAGATTCTCAATAGGCACAAAGCAACTTTTTTTTTTTTCAAGATGTAGTAGATGCCCATTAAAGTTTGTCCCCAAATTGAAAATAACAGGTGAGTTGCTATGAATATCTGTTTCAATCTGGGAACATTTTGTAAATATTGTTAGATGATCAGGGCTCAGCTATTGGAAGCTAGGAAATAGAAGGTAGGAGCCAGTGGTGAAGAGATGAAAGAGTCATATGCTCGGGAGAAGACCACAGACGCCATCAGGTCCACCCTCCTTCTGTGTGCAGGAATCCAAGTTAAAGTATCTCTGACAGATGGATGTGTAGCCTCCACTGAATTGTGCTTACTTTTAGGAAGTTTTCGCTAGCATTCATCAGCTGAAGGGGAGCTCCTCACATTCATCTGTTGCTTAGTAAAAAGGAAACCTTTCTAATGGGACAGAAAAGAAAATTGGTATTCAGTCTGGGTGGCCAGAGTCATTTGAGTACTTGGAAAATCCAGGTGGATACTTGTGAACAGGATGGTTCAGTGGGGCAGCTGTGCACAAATCAGGAATGTGGAGGATTTTTTTAGCTCCAGCTTTTTAAGAAAGCTGATCACATTCACTGTAATGGCAGCACCCAGCTAAGCATGGTTGATTTCAGAGAAAGCTATCCAGGTCAGACCTGACTAGCATTTGGCCACTTTTCCTTCAGGAAATTCCAGGACTGTCAGCAAGACTGGGAAGTCAAAAAGACATCATAGAAGGAGGCAGTGGCAAAGCTCTTCCATATTGTTGCCCAGAAATCAAAATGGAGGTGTCCATGTAGCATCAAGAATTGAGCTTAATTCAAATGTATATTTAGACGTCTGTATTTCGTGGGCTACTATGTATGTTAAAATGCAATTTTCTTTCAAACACAGAGAGCATACATGAAATGATACACCTCTAAAGGTTGGTTCCTATATATAGCTGTCCATAAAGGAATGAGAAAATTCAGATGTGTTTGTGAAGGGAAAGATACCCAGCAAACAGAGGGCCTGTGCTCCTCCCTCTCCCATTACCTGGGCAAAGAGAGGGAGGAACCCGTTGTATCCCTCAGACTCATTCACTGACTCATTTTATTTATTTATTTATTTATTTATTTATTTATTTATTTACTTACTTACTTACTTACTTACCTATTTATTTCAATTTCTATAGCTGCCCATCTCAGAGAAGGGACTCTGGGTGGCTGATATTAATATCAATTGCCTTCCTGCTGATACTTTCCCATTTCAGCTGTGTGGGGAAGGGAAATGCATAATATCGTCCTTTGGAAAGTGCAGAAACCATGGATTCCCCCCCGCCCCGTCAAGATCTGGTGAGATTCAGGTCAAATGAATTCAGCCTAGTACAGTAAACACATAAAGGAATACATCTATTCTGGTGGCTTAGAATTTTTCTACAGAAAAATGATCTGCATGGAAACCGTCTGTCATCCTTTCTAGAGTTTGCATTAAATAGCTAATCTTTCCACATTTCCCCTGGTATGCCATGTATTAATAGCTCCTATTCAATCCTACTCAGACTGCATGTAACCAAACACTCCCTTCATCTAGAAAATGTGGTGAATAGATCGGACTCCGCTTATTTTTTCAACATTCAGAGTCTGGTTTATTCATACATCTGAAAGTGTTCCTTTCAGATTAAGTGATACCAAGTTTTAGCACATTGGTAGGAATTTGACCAAAGTAGGAAATTGAATGTGGTCAATTTACTGGAAACTGTTTATCTCTCAATCCATTCTTCTCTTAACAAATATTAATGCCAACTGTATGGTTATCTTTCTTGTATTGGTCATGAGGTTTAAATTTAGTGAAATTAGCATATAGGGCAGTCATTTGAATCAAAGGAGACAATTATTCAGTATTTGAAGCAATGTCTGCTATCCTGTTAAGTTCAAAGATGGCTCTTTCCCCCAACTTGGTTCTTCAGTCACTTAATTCCAGGATCTTTTGTTTGTTCAATCACTGCCATATGAAAAGTTCCATGCGTAATCTCCGAGTGCATACAATGAGGGAGGGGGGAAATATAGAAAATAATTCACAATTGACTGCAGGGGCATTGATATTGTTGCTTGTTGTTCATTTGCATAATCCATTGACAATGTACCTGGAATGCTTTTGGGGGTGCATGGGAAGCAAACGGACATTTTTTGAACCATCAGGAAAGATTACTAGTACTTAGTCCATATTCAAAGGCATTGTACATGCTGAAAACATGTATGAGCTCTGGAGACAGCACATGAAAAGTTTGCTTACTGTCATCTTTGTACATGCCTTTGTAACATTTTGGGGAGTAAATATCATTTATTATCTTATTTCACATGTAGGAGAATAAGATGGGGATAAAATGAGTTGCCAAGGGCTAATTCAATTGATAACTAATTTGGGATCACATGAATGCATGATAACATTCTTCCTGGTAGATGGCAGCATCTACCTGATCTCAAAATGCTAGAGCATCTACTTCCCTCCCTCCCTCCCTCCTGAAGAAATGAACAGCAAACAACTTTTATATTGTCCATGAAGTCACCAGGAGACTTGGAGATGTTACTTGTTTACCTTGATAGTTCAGCCATGGCTAAAAATCACTTATACTTTATTTATTTAAGAACTTACATGGCCACCTACCTCACATTGTCATCCTAGATGGCTCACAACAACAAATAAAAGCAATAATCCTTCCTACCAAGCACCAGACCAACCAGCTTTCAATGTCCCTTACTTGAATAAAGATCCTCCTCTCTTCAATTAACAGGATACATAATTATAGGCTGTGACCATATGGAATCAGCAAATTAGATTTAACCATCAGCCTCATAACATATTCTCTCCTTACTATTAAACAACAGCAACAAATGATCAGAGAAAGGGGGGGGGGGAGGATATTTATATGATGTGATGGCAACATATGTGAATTTAGCAAAAATTAATGGGAGAAAAGTGGAAATTCAATGCTTCTGTTTACAGTTGTAATCCATGTTATGCATTGTACTCAACAAGAAAATGTTAACAAAAGAACAATTTCCAGTGTGGGGAAACACAGTGACTGTTTTTTGAAATCCCTTCATTTCAGATATCGGAACAGTACTGAAAGTTTTGAGTATCACCAAAGAGAAACGGGACATGGAAGAGGTGGTCCTGGAAGAACTACAGATATTCAAGGTAAGTCTCCAAAAGCAAACTATCTTTTAGACTAGAAAAAAAAAAAGTTGTTTCTAGTGAGATATATTTTGGCTGGAGGAAAGATTTCAATAACAGCAACATAAATAATATCAGTATTTTATATATATACACTGTATGTATGTGTGTGTGTGTGTGTGTGTGTAGATATATATACACATATAAAAATAAATAAAAAGGGGGAAAAGCAAATACAGCACTGAGTGAAATTTGAGATAAATCCTGGTGGAGTAAAAATCTACAGTCATTTCAAGGATACTAAAACTATTTTGATCATATTAGCAAATTTACTTGCTGGGATGGTGTGCCCATATTCCAAATAGCAACATTTTCTCAAGGCTGCTAATTAAGCAGCTATCTGCCAGTAACTATAAGGTAATGAGATGTTCTTGATATAGTTGCAGCTATTAGTGCCACAACCCCTAAAAATTAACTCTCCTTCAAGGCAAGCTCAACCCCACTTGCTGCCTTCATGAACACCTCCATGGTATTCAGATACAATAAACTATTGCAATAACCATTTCAGGGAAAAGAACAAAAAACAAAATCTTCCAATGTCATCTTTTGGCTGCCACGGACACCAATTATAACTATCACATTGCAGATATCAGGAATGGCCAATCAGCTGCCAAGTAATCTGGAATTATTAAGCATGTACCAATTTCCTGCATATTTGTAGTATCATGTCAAAGGGAAAGGCACTATATCAGACTTAATACCAAAAAGGGCTATTAGCTCAGCAGATGTTCTTTACTTTATACACTTCGTTTCTTTTCTTTTTTTCCTTACAGAAAAAAAAATAGGGAAAAAATTACTGTACTGTAGGTTCTGTATATTTTTGTTAACCCATCTGAGAATTATTTAATTATCTGAGAATCTGATGTACGTATTTCCAAGAGCATGTGATCAATAGAGGAGGGGAACTTCCTTACCCAAGGAATATTGTGGTCCACACTGTTTGCTTCAAGAAAAGGGTTACTTTGACCACGAAAAGATTATCATGAACACTTTTCAATTCCAATAGAAGCAATTCATATGTTGTGACTGAAACTCTCCAGGAAGAATTCTTGGTCATGGGAAACTCAAATCCATGAAGCAACTTCAAAAACTCATGACTGCACTGGTTTTGTTTTTTCCACCAAATAACCTTCATGGGATTACTGTAAGCCTGAAAATCCTTTCTGATTTCTTTGAATCAGATTTCTGATTTTTGCACTATATCACAGTAGAGAAAATCTGAGCTGAATCTGGAGAGAAATCATCACAAGGTATTAGATGTCATATATTGTAGAGATATAAAATGTCACTTTTGCCAAAACTGATCCATTAGAGCCAGAAGGTAGGCCTGTGTACATTATTTGATGAGCATGTGAAGTCTTCCAGCCAAGATGCAGTCATAGCTGCTCAAAGACATTCTGAGGGCTTCTAAGCATGATCCTAGTGGATGCATTAATCTTGGGAATCCTCAAAATAGCCACATGCTCCTTCAAGTAGCTACTTCAGAGCTTTGATCCACAGAGACACTTCACTTGTGAGCAAAGCACTTTGTGAAATCTTTTACACAAGCTTATCCATGTGATGAAAGTACAACTTAAAAGGAGTAACTGAACTCTCCTGGTGACTCCATGGAATTTACATGGCAGTAGTACAGAAGTGGGTTGACCGTGTCTTCTCCTGGGATTCCTTGCTTCCCCTAGTCTAGCTTACATTTCTGGTATTTCCTGGAGGTCTCTCATCCAAGTACTAACTAGAACCAAGGAAACCAGGTTCCAATTCTTCACTGAATCAAAGTGTAGTGGGAGCATCAAGGCAATCAGTCCTTTAGCCTAATCCATTGAAATTTTGAAGGGTGGTCTTAGCACACATCAGATTGCATTACTGAACTAAAACAAAGCAACACAACAGCAAACTTGTCTCATTGTTTCTTTTTCATAGAAGTCCTCTTAGTTGCATTCAGGTTGAATGAAAGTTTTTCCAAGTTAGAACTGAAGATATTGATTTCTCAAAAGGCTTAGATAAATTTTCAAATTGGTGTTCTTGAATGATGTGGCAAATGTCACTCCTTGATAACAGCATTTTCCTCCAGATAAATATAAGCAATATTGATCTTGTCTTCACTGTTTGTTCATTTGTTTTGCAGCGTCCATCACCTATCTTGACTATGGAGATGTCTCCAAAGCAGGTAATTCATAAGTAGTTATTTTAGCACTTGCTAAGTGGCTTTTTTAAAGCCAGTGTCTAATATTTTATGATTTAATTTTTTTAGATTTTTATTCCACTTTTATTATTTTTATAAATAACTCAAGGTAGTGAACATACTTGATACTTCTTCCTCTTCCTATTTTCCCCACAGCAACAACCCTGTGAGGTGGGTTGGGCTGAGAGAGAGTGACTGGCCCAAAGTCACCCAGCCAGCTTTAATATTTGCTCATTTTTTCCTAATCTCACCCTTCCTGTCAAAATTACTCCTTTTGATTTAAAATCCATTTCTAATTCCACATGAACATTATATATTCATTGCATATTACCCTGTGAGGTGGGTTGGGCTGAGAGAGAGTGACTGGCCCAAAGTCACCCAGCCAGCTTTAATATTTGCTCATTTTTTCCTAATCTCACCCTTCCTGTCAAAATTACTCCTTTTGATTTAAAATCCATTTCTAATTCCACATGAACATTATATATTCATTGCATATTAACAGAAAAATAGTAAGAGGGAAGAAATGAAGAAGAGGACATATTCGTTTGAGAGTTTCTTGCTGGTGGCTTCTATCCAGAACCTATTTGTCACACTGATATACCATCATCAGTCATTTTGTTATGCAAATCCACCCATGTGCATTCAGAAGTTAAGTCTGAGTGACTTTAGCAGAATTTATGCTTCATAAGCAGATTTAGGGTTGTAGCTTCGGTGAGAGCAATGCTTTTTGTCCCTCTAGGGTTGGTCGTTTTTCAGGGTTACAGGGAACCTGCCTCTCTCAGTATTTAAAGGATACAAAGCACAGACTCATGCAGATGTCTCAGGCACAGAACTGTTTCCAGTGCCTCGTACTCTCTGACTGGGCCACGTATCCCCCATTTATTTGTGAAAGGATCGATAGCTATGAAACAAACTGTAATGATGAAAGCCTGAATCTGAGCATTTTATTTGCATTTGTTTACTGTAGGAAGGTTTTGGTGACTGTCTTACTATTTTGGGGTGAAGGGGACTGTAGAGCGTAGAATGGAGTGGATGGGTTACAGCCTTTTTTCCCACTCTAGCGGGTGAGCTGTTTTTAAGCTGTGTGAAGCTTGTTTTAGAACTGACCCTTCTGTTTTCTTGGGTTTCCCTCCTCAGAATGGCAGGGAACCAAACTGCTCCTTCACACCCTGGCGGGGACTCATATTGACTGGTTAGAGTTTAGACTGCTCTGGAGTCTGCTATTTTAATTAGGTTTCAAATATCTGTCTGTCTGTCTATCCTCTCCCTCTCCCTCTCCCTCTCCCTTTAGATTTTTGTTAGGGGTTTTATTTATTTATTTAATTTTACCATGTTATGTCCCTGGATTTTCAAAGCAGGTTTGAGCCCAAATCTAAATAATCAGAAGTGACGCCATGCTGTTAAACAGGTGAACTGTAGCAAGAAATGGCTTGAAACCTCTCTGAAAAAAGTTTCAGGGTTTGCTATTATCTTTCTATCAGAATGGTTGCAGAAAATATTGGGCATTGTTGAGGCTTTGTGAACCCAGTTTGAAAAAAAATTGATTTAACAATATGGAAAGAGACAGTTTTATGGGTTCTGTTCACTGCTCTATAAATGGCAGTACTGATGCACATGTAGGCATTTCTGTAATAACAGATTTTTTAAAGTAATGCTCTAAAGCAACATGAAGTTGTTTCTCATTTATTTGCCTTTTCTGATTTGTAGCAACAATTGTACATTGGTTCCAGAGATGGATTGGCTCAGCTTTCCTTGCACAGATGTCATACGTATGGGAAGGCATGTGCTGATTGCTGCCTTGCCAGAGATCCATATTGTGCTTGGGATGGAAATTCCTGTTCCAGATACACACCCACATCAAAAAGGTAAGGAAGAGCATATCTAAGCTGTCATACCTAACGGCAGGTTCTTCCATGAATCTCACGTTCATGATTATGACCATAGTTCTGAAGAGCATAGTAGCCATTGACGTCTACTCTCATTTTCCCTACTAAGTTCTGTACATGTCCTGTAGTTTCCCATTCACAGAATAAAAATTTTTATAGAATAAAAAATCTTGGTAACCTTAGCAACTACATAGAAAGGATAGTTTTTGATTACTTACTTGATGTAATCTTAGGTTTCATGGCAAGATCTCTTGATAACTCTTTCTTTGCTTAAAGCTAGCTCTGGGGCTGAAGAGACAGGAAAGTTGGAACAGGGACAGCACTAGTTGAAACATCTTACAATGCCAAGTGCTTTATAATCTTCTTCAGTGAAGAAAATTCATATCTTATTCTTATCCCCACCCTGCACAGCCAGTGAATCTTCCTAGTTTGGTTCATCCTGTGGATTGCCTTCCTGAAATGTAATGCATATACCTGCCTTGGCAGGCAGGAGCATAAGAATTCTGTCTTAAATATCATTCTGACAATGGTTTATTCCTAGGCAAACACTGGTTCAAAAGTCATTTCAACCCATTCGTTTGTTCTCTAGGCGTGCAAGGAGGCAAGATGTGAAATACGGAGACCCAATTACCCAATGCTGGGATGTTGAAGACAGTAAGTATTGAATTTGTGTTCTTTTTTCGAACATCACTTGTAAGACCCCCCCCCTTTTTTTTTTACAGTTGAGAAGCTGGCAACCTTAATCCAACCATAAGTGATGGCTAGTTTTTTCTTGTTTTGTTTTTAAATGTTATGGTGCTCATTTTGGTCTGGAAGGCATGCCTTAGTCTGTTCTAGATGCTGAGAATTGTACTCTTGTCTGTTGTTATTCTGTAATGAGCTAATGAGCCATTCTGATCCATAGAAGCAAATTGGCGCCAATATTCCACAACCAAGGAGGGCTGGTATATCATCATTCCTTCTGAATATTGGAACTTACTATTTAGCTATCAGCAGCAGCCATCACAAGACAAAACAGGCATCATTCTGGAACCCAAATGGAAAAATACTGTGTCTATAAGAATGTGAGAAGGCCTGCACCAAGAGAGCCATGCAAGGAGAGTTCCCTGAGGCAGAATCAGGAAATATACTTCTTCTTACATTCTCTTAGCTTATTTCTGCATAGCAACTCTTGGACAAAAGTCTAAAATCTTAGTTCCTGTTATCAAGCAATCCAGGATTTCTTCTAATTCTTCCCTGCTAATTAAGCAATCTCCTTTCAACAACAGCTTACTGTCTCCCACAAATATAGCTGTTCATGATCTTGCCAGACTGGCTCGCTCCCCTGGCAACAGGTCTTACAATATGTATTATCTATAGTCAGCCTTGTGGTTAAGCTGAAATTTCTGTAACAACATAACATAAAATTTCAAATGTTCAGCTCAGAATATTTATTTTCTTTTCTTAAAGGAGTGTGGGGGGAAAACCACTAAAGCAAAACAATATTCTTTCTTTAAAAAAATGAGTATCTAATTCAGGGTTTCAATTACTGCACAGTTGTTTTCATATAAATCCTGTCGTGTATGCAAATCAAAAGCAATGTAAAGAACCTGAGTAGAGTCAGCATTAATGAAAACTAGAGTTTCCACGCTTTCACTTTGTGGAGGGAAGAGCTGTTCCAGGGAAGGAGTCAAGATAAAATTTCCAGAAGGAACAGATTTTATTTGTCTTATTACCATGCAATGATGTAGACTGGTGGAGATGACACAAAATAAATCTTGGAAAGAATTTAATTTCTAGCATGTGAGCCTGGCTGATAGATATCTTTTGCCAACTTTACCTTGATCCCGTAGATGGTTAGAGAAAGGATGAGGGAACTGCTATGCTCCAGATGTTGATCCCATGAGGTCTAATTTCTGAGGGATGTTTTCCACTCCTGGTCTAAAGACACTTGTTTAAACTTTGATAAGGCCACTTACAGGAAGGTGGGCCTATTGGAAGAGACATAAATACTATTTTGTTTGTCCAATTTCTCCAGTAACAAATTACTTACCTGACTTTTGTTTCTTTGACTTTGGAAGGAATGCTATGACTCTTTGCATTCTTTATTACATGGAGAAACAATTTAAATACTGACAGAACTGCCAGTCCAGTCCCAATTTCAGATGTCAAGGAAGAGGCCTTTCCATAGCTCAAAATTAGCTCTTAATCCTTTTAATCCCAAAGCTTAAATTGCAGTATGTCTCCCAAAACTATTCTGTTGATCTGCATGCATGTAAAGCTTGCATTACCATCAATGAATTGAAGAAATAATGTGTACTCTTAATTCATTATGTAAAGAAAAGGGAAATGTTGCTTTGTAATACATAATTAATGTAGTTTTAACTGTTTGTGTTTCTGGAGCCTATGTATGAATCAAAAGACAATTATATGTTGGTATTTTTCCTGTGATGCAGTTTTTCAAATAAATACTGCTTGTAACAGTAGACACAATAAGAAAATGTATGCACAAAATGATAAAAATGAAATGCATTTTTATATATATTTGTTAAGTATAACAAATAACAGGAGAATGCAACACATTAGGAAAGTTGTTATAAACTAGGCATTTAATGACAACAATTTATTTATAGCCCAAAATCAAGTGATTCAGAAACAGAACAAATTGAAGGTTGAGGTCTTGTCTTTTCTTTTCTTTTCTTTTCTTTTCTTTTCTTTTCTTTTCTTTTCTTTTCTTTTCTTTTCTTTTCTTTTCTTTGTTTAAGTAAAATTAGCAGTTTGGTTCTTCATTGATCACGTATGTCTCTGATAGCTTGAGAAAAGTGCATGATGGCAGTTTTTTTTTTAAAAGTTCCCTGTTGCACCCAACTCATTTTTTTCCCATACCACAAAGTGTCAGTTTGTTGTGTTCATTGTTTCTATCCTGTCCTTGAAGGTATTCAAATTGAAGACATTCAAATTGCAGTCAAAGCAATATGAATATCTTCATAGCAGAATCATTCCAGTCACTTTTTAATACTCTGAATATCCAAGTGATTCAGAGGTTTTTCAAGATGAATATACAACCCAAAATGTCTTTCCATACATATTCGCCCTAATGTGACCCCTTTCCCCAGAACATTTAGTTTTCTCATATTTTCCATTATTATATACATTTTTGTAGTGGGGGTCTGCATTCCATGATTTGGAAAGTGCAATAATGAAATAATAATTGGGTTTCAGTTCATAGATTAGTTCAGGAAGTGTGAATTAAAGAGTCAGGTGGGTCACTGCAACTTCCTTGTCTTAAGCCTCATTGAAAGCAATTTCTGTACAAAAGACTATAGATCAAATTCTTCTTCCACAGTGATGGAAATGACAGGAAGTGACCAAGTCAGAGATAAAGCATTGTTATAAATGGCTTACATTAGTTTGAATGTTTGTGTGCTGTGCTAAACCATTTGTTTTCCTTAACAGCTTATGTGCTACTCCGCCATCTGCTCTGCATCAGTCATGTTTCCCCATTCTTAAAGAAATCAGGGCAGGGTTAATCCTCTCTCCTATGTTTGCTTTCCAGGCATTAGTCACGAAACCAGTGATGAAAAGGTGATTTTTGGCATTGAATTTAACTCAACATTTCTGGAATGTGTTCCAAAGTCACAGCAAGCTTCCATTCGGTGGTTTATTCAGCGCTCTGGAGAAGAACACCGGGAAGAGGTAAGGCTGGCTTTCCCTTAAAAGAAGACTACAAATTCCATTTGTAAAACTGGGGCTGATAGAATTTGTCAATATTAGATTTAACAATTTCACCATCCTTTGGAGTAAGAAAACTGCAAGAACCATCATTGAGCCATTGGTAGCTTTCAAAAAGTATTAAAACATTAAAAAAGCATTAAAACTATTGGGAGGTCAGCTCAAAGGTTGCCCATACACACTACAATTCAGACTTTCTTTTCTAATTGCAAAGTAGGAAGGGTAGGAAAAGAGATCATTTGTCACTTTTGATATCATCAGTAAGTACTCAACTTATTTGCACAGTCTTCAGCTGCCTAATGCTCTTGAAACCTATAGCTGCTCACATATCCCTAGAGATAAAATGTTTGCAGCCCAAATAGTGGAAATAATGATTTTATGGAAATTTCCATAGGACCTTTACTAGGACCTAAGAAAAGAGTGTGCAAGATTCTGAGTTTTGCAGAAGGTTTAATCAGGCTAGCTAACTTTTTAAAAAAAGCAGGAGGAGGATGGAGAAGGTTCTGTATGAAGCTAAGAACTGTCCCTGTGAAATCCACTGTGATGCAATGTAATTACTTAGTATCCTAAACAAAGAGAGAATTCTTGTATTCACCTTGGAAAACCGTATACATCTATGCAACCAAGCCCCAAATTAAGTAAAAGCAAGTGGAGGAATTTGGGGCAGAGATGCAGCAATGCATGCAGCTTTCTACCTGTCCTCCCAACTATTTCTGCATGCCAGATTGCTTCACCCAAGATTGCATGATTCAGTTTTCATTTGAACATAATAGAATTAGTCCCTTGGCTGCAAATCTCATCTGCTGACTATGCTATCAAACAGATGAATAGCTTTGTCCAAGTTGATTCCACCTAGTTGTGGTTGGAAGTTTGTGGTTATAAAATGGGAAAATATTCACTTGGTTGGATTATTGGTTGGAGTATGCTTTCTAAGTGGGGCAATTTCTGGAGACAACCCAGAAGATACAGTTGTTCCAGAACATGAAGCTAGACAGTTGGCAAGTCAACCACATTATTACAGGATAGCAGCACTTTTGAAATTGTTGCACTGGTTATTTGTAGGCTTCTGGGCATCACCTGCAGAGGCATATATAGTGTAGCGTTGGGAGGCATCAGCTTGTCTGGTAGGAATGTCTTGTGAAGTCTTGCTGAGAGCAGAAACAGTTGCAGAATCCATGTTCTTCAAATGTGTGTGTAGGCCTCTCCCTCTTAACATTTTGTAAGCATCTTGTAACAAATCTATTCCACCGTTCTGTGGCATTTATCTTGTTTTCTCTTAATGATTTATGGGCTTACGCTGTTGTATGTTACCCAGAATCTCTGGATTGGGGCCGTCTACAGAAATGGTAAATAATAAAAAATAAAATATTTTGTTTGAGGAAGGATGATGAATCAGGGAAAAAATAATGGAGTTGTTTTTGTGTATTTTAAGGAAAATACACATCTTTATTTCAGCATAGCTAATGAGAAATATATGTATACGGGTAGTTTTATGAGCATACTGTATTATAGAAATACATTGATATTGCAGGATCTCTTTCACCATGTATCTTACTTTGGTCAAATATAAGTCAGCCACAGCCCAATTTCTTTCATTTTATTACACTTTTCTTGTGTCTCTTTTCAGCTTTTTGCTTTCCTCCAAAAGAGTGTAGCTTTTCCATATGCATCTTACTACCAGTTCTGATCCCAGCATCTTTGGGTAATTTTGGGTGAATCACATTTAGCAAGTGGCATGATGTTCCCAGAATTCAAGAGCAGTAATGCTTTACCAGGCCTTCTATGCCTTACTCTAGAAATGGAGGGCTAGGTACTACTCATCAGGGCATGAAATTTGGTTTCCTAAGAGGAAGGAGAGGGCAACTTACAGATTTGCTTAACAGGCATTTGGCTCTGCAGGCTATTTCCTCCTCATCACCCAGAAGGTCAAGCTTTGGAGTCCGCTTCCAGGCAGAGCTACGGGTGGAAATAAACAGGATCTCCGGTGGTACGGGAGCTTTCACCATGTCATTCTGTCACCAGTGGGGGTACATCTCCCTGCAGATAGAAAGATTCCCCCTCCTCCAACTGGTTCACTTTTAAATTCAGCGATGCTCAAGCAAAGGAGCATGTTTGTTCCTTTGTTTTGAAAGTTATTCAAAGGCTTGTGACTAGAAACATGGAGGAGAGGAGGGAAAAAGGAATTAACGTATCATCTTTACATCTTTTGTTCATAGAGCTGGAATCAGCTGAGACTTCCAGCACCCTAAACTCATCTATTTATTTATTCACCATGAAATTCCTATGTGCAGTGAAATATCAGAACTGGGAAAAGTCTGAGGGAGTTCAGTTCAGTTCTTAGCAAAGGTCACTTATTAGATGCAATTTAAGTTAGATTAGCCCCAAGTCCAAGTTCCCTCAAGATTATAGCTTTACCAAACTGCCATGTGCATTTTTGGAGAACTCTAACAAACCATATACCTAAAATGACAGCTTGTGCATTCTTGGTTTTCCTTACTCTTCTCCCATGACTATTTTTTTCAGTTGTTGCACCAATAATCAGTTAATTTTTCTTATACCCCGCTATCCAATTGATAACCGGTTTTCTATGAGTCAGACGATGTACTGATTGGGTAGAATCTGATAATGGTCAGTTGTTGTTCTGTTGTACTTCAAATGTACTGACATTTTCAGAGGTAATGAAAAATTACTAAAACAGTTCAAAAATAGAAAAAAATTAAACAAAAGGAACACACAAGAATAAAAAGGAATGAATAAATGCCACAGGAAAATTATAAAAGTGGTAAAATGTCCTAGTCCAGTACTCCAGTTATCATTTAAGATCCCTGATGTTTTAGGGTCACTGAGTGTTTTAGAAGTTGGAGAGCATGTAATTAGCTCCCATGAAATGGTTCCTTGCCATACTGGATGTGGCCACCCATTTCTGTGGATGCAACCACCAAGGAACCATGTGTGCACAATGCATGCAGAGATAGCTTTGCTTGTGTCAGTGTTCCATGTGGATCACCACTTCCACAGCACTAATAAATTCCATCAGTGGAATGACTCCCAGGCATAATGACACCCGGTCAACAGATGGCTTTGAGGTGTTAATGAACGACACTTTCTGTGGGCATTATGCAAAAGAACCCAAGTCAAAGCAGTTTTGAGATATCAAACCAATATGAACATCAGCACATATTCAAAGCACTGAACCAGCTGAAGTCACAGCTACATGTTGGTCTGTGGTTTTGCAAGGCTAGAAATTAGACTGTACATAATGAATAGAAAAAGAATCCATTAAATGGCAAACAAAAATATTTTTCCTCCCTTTAGCTCTTTGTTTTGATAAAAGTCCAGACTGTGTAAAAGATACCCTGACCTAAAAACCTGGATACCACATTTGAATCTTGGTTATCTATACTGTCTTATAAACTAATGGTGGTAAGACGATTTAATGGGAATAGTAAAGAAAGTCTGTGTAGCATAATGGTTGAGAACCCCAGGCTATGAATTAAGAAGTTCCTTGTTCAGATGTCATCTCTGCCATTAACTCACCAGGCAGCCTTTGGCAACTCCCCATCTCAATCCTTCTATATTTTATTTAAAATGTGGAAATAATAATACTAAACCACACTTCAGGATTCTTTTATTACTTACTGTGGTTTTGTTTTCTCTTTTCCTCCAAAGAACTCAAAGTGGCATATGTATTATTTCTGTATAATTTCTCCCCATAAGGTGAATCAGGCTGAGGTCACCAGTAGTTGCACAATGAGATTTGAGGTTGGGCATGGAAATTTTGCTCTTTTTAGTCCTAAACCAACAATTTTGAGTTACGTAAGTTGCTGTATAAATGTTACATATTTATATTATCATTAGGAAAGGACAGATTTATCTATCATCTGGGTTCCTTTGACTAATGACACATATTTATACAAAATTTAATCCTGGCCCATTTCTTCATTAGTTTATGAAATTCATAAAATAAAATAAAAGGGAAATGTGTACATCCTGTTTTGACATTTCCACACAATATAATGTTTTTAGCATTTTACCCCAAAATAGACATGAGAGTGGAGTTACGCTAAAGCCGTATTTTATGTACAGTCTGGTCACTTTATGTATATGGTTCAGTAGTGCTCCAGAGAAAAAAGCAAAAGGTAAGAGATAACTATTATGTTCTAATTCTCATACTTGTCCAGAAAGTGAAAAGAATGGTCAGACAATAAATGAAATCCTGAAGTTCTTCCAATAATTAGAGACTAAATTATTATGTGCATGAATGTAGATAGGCTAAAAGATGTAAAGTTTTCTTTTTTCCCAGGGAAAATTATTCACTTTTTATTTTCAACTTTATTTACACACCTGTTACCCTTCCCTCATCACTGACTCAGGAAGGAACTCTTCCCTCCTCACAAACAGATTCCATGTTCTAGGAGTGGAAAGGCAGGAGTTCTTTCTAAATAAACGATTCACAAAGGCAAGGGATATTGACCTAGTCAGCCCTTAGTGCAATTTCAATCTGTTGCTTTCTGTTTGTTTGTTTTTAACACTCCTTTAACACTTTCTCCCTAAAATGCATTGCCCTAGAACAGTTCTTTTATTTGTACTGAAAGAAGGAATGGATCTAAGTGGATATCCTAGTCCTTTGTCATTAATATGTGTCACAGCTTGGGAAAGTACAAGGCTCCATATCTCATTGCTACCAAAATGAAGATGATTGATTGACATCAGCGGAATTGAAACTCAAGAGATGATCAGTGCTAGTATGGACCACTAGCCATTTCTCAAGGGCAAGAACACACAATGCCATCCACTATCAATCAAGGGCCAGGGTGAATGCTGCCTAGATGGAACATCACTGTGGCAAAGTAGAGGATGGGGGTGACATCAGGAAAGGGATTTCTTAAGCTGGGTTTTTTTCCAGCTGATCTACCAACAGGACTCCAGCAGCAGTGTGGAAAACCCCAGAGTCATGGCTCACT